TATATATATATATATATATATATATATATATATAATATATAATATAATATATATATATAATATATATATATATATATATATATATATATATATATATATATATATATATATATATATATATATATATATATATATATATATATATATATATATATATATATATATATATATATATATATATATATATATTTCATGTAAATCCACAATGAAAACGTGGATAAGATAAATCTTGATAAAATCACACGGGAAAATGGAAACAACGATTAAACAAATGTTATATATATATATATATATATATATATATATATATATATATATATATATATATATATATATATATATATATATATATATATATATATATATATATATATATATATATATATATATATATATATATATATATATATATATATATATATATATATATATATATATATATATATATATATATATATATATATATATATATATATATATATATATATATATACCTACTGTATTTCTGTGTGTGTGTGTCCTACACAATATTAAAACAATTCTTAAAAATGTTTTGAAGCAGTAACCCCACGAATTAGAGTCACGAGCCGTCACTGCTCTACATATTAGTCTTTCGTGGGGGACCCTGTCGAAAGGGTTGATAAAGTCGATGTATACCACATCATAATTGTGTCTGTCATCCACTGATTCGAAAACAGTTGAAAAGAATGATAATAGATTTATCAGACAGGAACACCCACTTATGAAGCCATACTGGAAATCATTGATCAATTTGTGTTTCTCGGGGAGATTTTGACTTGATGAAATTATTGCTTACAGCAATTGGCCCACAATTGATGTTAAACTAATTGGACGGTAGTTTGAGGATAGTGATCTATCTCCCTTCTTGAAAATCACACTAAATAGAGATAATTGCCAATTAAGTCATAAAACGCAAGAGAAGTTCTTGTCGAAGGGGGATAAGTTTTTGTTTTCATTGCTACAACTTAATGAAAATGAATTTGTATATATTCAAATTTTATTCTGCCTAATAAATTAGGTGCTTTACCAGCCTAAGTTAGCCAAATTATACCTAAAGTAAGTTAGGTATGGTTAGATTATGTTAGTTTAGGTTAGGTTTTGTGTGCATATATTCATTTATATGTATTATGGTGATATGCATGACCGTTTATGGAGAGTCAGAAATTTCCAAAAAAGAAAAATATCTGGAATGTATCGCTAAACGGCAATTATCCATATTTAGCGTAACAATACTGTATACCGGTATGTACAGTACACTCACGCGACATAGTTTCGATGCACCCTCAGGGCTGCAAACCGAACGGTCCCTCTTGCATAGTGATGTGAAGTATAGTGGTGGTAAATAAAGTGTTGTGAAGTCACTAAAAAAACCTATATCGTGCATATATTCTCTCAAATATTACATCATGAGCTGCTATTCGTACAATCCAGCGAAGCTTCGAGGTACCACATTACACCAAAGAACGATGGGTGAGGGAAGTCAGAGGGGGTGGGGACGTTCGGTATAAAGCCAAGGCTACGACTTCCATCGAGTCAGGAGTAGGGGTAGAGGGTGCATCAAAACTATGGCGCGTAAGTGTACTGTACATTTGTTACACTAACTAAGGATAAATGTCGATTGGCTATAACTTACGGCATATGTATTTATTTGTTGGAAACGTTTGACTGGCTATAAACGATCATGTAGATTATAAGAAATAGATAATAAAAAAAAAACTAACCTAACCCTGCCTCTTGCCTAATCTTTCCTTATCTACTTTATTTTGTAATTGCCTATCTGATGTTGGTAAACGACGCCCTAAATAAAAAAGAGCAATTTTTACATAATTCAAATTAATTGCCATTGATTTAGAGCAATAAAAGCAAAACATTTATCCCTATGTGGCAAAGTCTTCAGTTGCTGTATATGGCTAAATCAGTGATTATCTCTATTTAGTGACACAGACTCCCACCTTCACGTCCGCCAGGCCCTACCTTCATAATCCTCATGCGGGAGACGCCAACACTTGTAAACTTGGTACGAGCTATGAACTCCACGAAGGCTCTGTTCTGGAGGAAGACGGCGGTGCCCTTCAACACCTTCTGGTACGCCTCCTCAGTTGAGCTTTGACCCTCGTAGATATTGGTCAGTCCCTATAGGTCATGGAGACTCAGTGTAAAGTTTGTTATTATTATTGTTTTTTCTCATTATTATTATTATTATTATTATTATTATTATTATTATTATTATTATTATTATTATTATTATTATTATTATTATTATTATTATTATTATGATTATTATTATTATTATTATTGTCATCATCATCATCATCATCATTATTATTATTATTATTATTATTATTAATATTAACTCAACTAACCTTCAGGTAAGGGTCACTAGCGGCGGCCAACTCTTTCTTGTAAAACTGACCCATCCCGGCCACCTTGAGATCAGAGTCATGTAGCTCCCTAATTGTCTCCACAGAAGCTGGCGCCTTGTTCACTAGCAGGAAGGCGGTGAGGTTGGTACAGTAGGCGATGGTGAGGACAATGGCGTAGATCCACAGAAAGGTGACGAAGACCTGGGTGTTGGTTGCCTTAGGGAGCTGTGACTGGGGTACTCGGAGAAGGACGCCGTATGTGTAGTAGTAACTGAGGTCAATTGATCCCACACTGCCAATCTCCTGCCCGCTGTTGGTATAGTCTGTATTGTAGGTTATGTTGGGGATATGGTCATTTTACCGTCTAGTTATAACGTGTACCTGATCCTAATAGTCCAGACAAGCCCCGGTAATGAGAGGTACCTCCTTTAGAATAGACCCCAATCTAACTAAATCATTAGGACTGAGGCCCATTATGATTGGGGTCCATTACAACTATGGTCTACTAGGACTGGGATCCAAGGTGAATGGGGTCCATTAGAATTCGGTCCTATTAGGACTGGGGTTAATTATGACTGGGGTCGATTGTAACAGTGCCATGACCTGACCAAGTGTTCCCGCTTAAACTGACCAACGACAGTGTGAGTGTCTTAGACCTGAAACAATAAGGAGAGTCTGTTAGACGTGACGTCATGAACATGTGGCGTCCCATAAGGCATCTTTCTTTTTAAGTGCGTGTCAGGGAACATGGCACTTAAGGTTTTATCTATTTCACCAAATGTATTGTGATTCTGGGTGGCGTCGTTAATAAATGCAGAACCATTAAGAAAAGTTCTCAATTCCCTTTCCTTGTGCAATGAGTAAAATATTCCTCTTAAGTGTTTTTGTGATACAGTGCCCCCAGAAGTAACAACATAGCTATAACCTGTTTTCCCTCGTGTCTCAGTTATTGCATGTTGGCTTAGCCCCCCAGTTATTCCCCTCTCGCTTTGTTCTTCCCTTCTATCGGTTCCATTGCCGACCCTCTGGTGGGGGTGACAGCAGGCAGACCCCCACTCCCCTATTGATAATGATATTGAAACAGTTTATTTATCCAGATGAACACGGATACAGAGTCGATTAAAAAACATAATATCAACATGGCTGAGCCAGTTGAGAACCCGAGCTCTCTTGTCGGCACTTGATATATACTGTACATTTATCTCAAGGAAGTATTATGTAACATTTAGTATCATCTGGAAAAGTACACGTAATTTGGTGATAATATGAACATATCAGAATGTTACCACGGTTATCACTTCGATATATATATATATATATATATATATATATATATATATATATATATATATATATATATATATATATATATATATATATATATATATATATATATATATATATATATATATATATATATATAATCAACGACCTCACCAGCAAGGAGTCGAACCCTCGACCTACTGGGTGTGACTAGGGAACGCTTACCGGCTCTAGCGTATTGCCAGATACCCAAAGAATGTTCTATACTACTGAGGGTATATACAAACACTTGTTGTCTTTAAAAGTAGGTTCTATTCTCGTACGGGAGATAATACAGTAGGACGCGAAAGCCTGTGGGCACGCCACCAGGACTCGGTCTTAACTACCTCTACATCTATCTATGTATTACTACGCACTGGCCTGTACAGATGCCAGCATTCACAAGCTGAATACATAAAGTATAAATGTGATAATTTATATACATAATATGGTGCATAATAAATAGAATATTACATAGAATTAATACATGTTCTGTAATACTTTACTATACATAATTAATAATAGTAATATAACAATATACAGCTGAAGGTACTACTTTGTGTCCATATATATCATACACCGGCTAGGCCACAAGGACACTAAAAGCAGTTCTAGACTCTGTTATATTTCACACAAAGCCTGTTCATCGAGCTGATGGCGCCATGAACCTCAATGGGAAACTGCCCGTGCCTCTTATGTGGTGTCAGTAGCATTTTACCGAATCCAGCTGGTATGAAACGCGAGGTACATATATATACTTCATTTTTAGTCCATATAACACGCGGACTTTGAACATATTTTCGAACCCTCGACCTACTGGGTGTGACTGTTGCAGTTCTAGACTCTGATATATTTCACACAAAGCCTGTTCATCGAGCTGATGGCGCCGTGAACCTCAATGGGAAACTGCCCGTGCCTCTTATGTGGTGTCAGTAGCATTTTACCGAATCCAGCTGGTATGAAACGCGAGGCTTTGTGTGAAATATAACAGAGTCTAGAACTGCTTTTAGTGTCCTTGTGGCCTAGCCGGTAAGCGTTCCCTAGTCACACCCAGTAGGTCGAGGGTTCGATTCCTTGCTGGTGAGGTCGTTGATTATATGTTCAAAGTCCGCGCGTTATATGGACTAAAAATGAAGTATATATATATATATATATATAAATATATTTTAGGGTGGTTAAAAAAGTTAAAGTCTTTATATTTTCAGTGCTCAATTTTTATTTGCGTCCTTTACATGAAAAAAACATTTCAGGTGAAATTATAGGTAATTACAGCTTTATTTAGGGTATGCACAAGTGGCCCGAAAATTCTACTTCTCTAATGTTTTCTCCCTCTATAAAATAATTCTTGTTCCTGACATCAGATACAGGTGATTTATTTGTTACATTTATTTGTTGGTGTTTATTTTATCCAAAATATAAGATTAACATAAAGAACACATGTAAGAGAAACATACATCACAGAAGATTAGCCTTCTTTATGTTGGGATACTGACTTCGATGTGTGGTGACCACCTGAAGCAGGTACTGCTTTTGATCTTCGCTTTTCGTAATTGAAGAGTTGTAGTCCGGGATAAGCTTCACCGCTCTATCGGCCACATCATTCCCCACCTGCAACTCTTGTAGAATTTCCCTTGACTGAAGGAACTGTGGATCGTCATTCCATTGGCTTGGATCTTTGGAGACGAATCCAGAATCCAGGAGCGTGGTTTGAAAGAAGCAGTTAGTATTTGTGGATGCAAGGTTTTTAAGCTCCAGTGATGGAATTTCCTCTTCTGTCACTTTCAGCTTCTTTGGACATTCCTTTTTCTCGTTCTTTCCCTTCATTGACTCAAGGATTTCTCTTTTCTCAGCATACGAAACACTATCACTGAAGAGAGCCAGAGCTACTGACTCCTCACTTAAATACCAGAGATGCCGCTGGAAAGCTTTTGCTGCTGCCATTCCAACTGATTCATCTATTTTCTCTTCATAGTAATGAAGTTGTTTGAGGAAGGATATATCATTGCTTGGAGCTTCAAACACTTCAGGAGCTTTGAACCACATTGGACCGTACACAAGAGCAACAAAAAGGGACATGGTCTGAATCAGTTTCTTCTCCTTGATAGTTAGCTGGAACTGGTGCTGAAACATGAATATCTAGACTCTAGAGAGAGAGTATAATGCTTTAGACATCCAACGAGCATGGTGTACTGGGCCAGGCTTTCCAAAACGAATCCCTCGGGGCGGAGTCCCACCCAGGAATATCACACAAAGTTCCATAAGTCGGAGGTAATCGTCCCGGGGCTGAGTCTGCTTGAGAGCCTTCATGTAGTAGTCGATAACTTTTTGCACCCATTCAGAATTTTCCTTCAACACTGCAGTGATACACCCATTAGTCTCTCCCGTCTTGAGCTCCAACTGCTTGATTTGATGCCTCTGCTTTTTAAACCTCTGGAACAAGAGAACATCAGGACCACTAGATGACCCATGAACGGCTTTGAAGACATCTCTAAGAACAACTTCCAAGATATGGTGTCTGCACGGAAGGTATAGGAGATTTCTTCCCAATTTCTCTTCAATCAAGGTACAGACTCCACGAACATGACCAGTGTTAGCGGCAGTGGTGTCAAAGCACATGGCGACAACCCGGTCATCGACATTCCAATCTTTCAAAGTATCTACCACAGCATTAGCTTGCGCCACTCCCGTTCCTGATGATAGGTGTGGAACGCCCAATAACTGGACATTCCCTACTGAAGAGGATACATCTTTCCCCGCGATCAGTATTGAGAGTCGTTCAACAGATTCCTCTCCTGTTAGAGATGGAAGGAGCTTACCATCCCAATGAACCACAATTCCAGTCTTGGCTCAAGAGGATATGACAGTTTCCTTCACAGTGGCAGTGTGATCTCTACGATATCGGATACGGACTCTCCTGATTGTGGAACGGCTGATGGGCAGCTCACCAATGTTCCTTCCAAGGTCTGCTGCAGTAGCTGCCACAATATGAACGGCCTGTCGGTCACTTGTATTGGCTCTGTCCAAGGCAGCAGCTCCAAGCAATGATATATCCTTCCTCAAACAACTTCATTAGTATTGGGAGAAAATAGATGAATCAGTTGGAATGGCAGCAACAAAGGCTTTCCAGCGGCATCTCTTCAGTGATAGTGTTTCGTATGCTGAGAAAAGAGAAATCCTTGAGTCAATGAAGGGAAAGAACAAGAAAAAGGAATGTCCAAAGAAGCTGAAAGTGACAGAAGAGGAAATTCCATCACTGGAGCTTAAAAACCTTGCATCCACAAATACTAACTGCTTCTTTCAAACCACGCTCCTGGATTCTGGATTCGTCTCCAAAGATTCAAGCCAATGGAATGACGATCCACAGTTCTTTCAGTCAAAGGAAATTCTACAAGAGTTGCAGGACTACAACTCTTCAATTACGAAAACCGAAGATCAAAAGCAGTACCTGCTTAAGGTGGTCACCACACATCGAAGTCAGTATCCCAACATAAAGAAGGCTAATCTTCTGTGATGTATGTTTCTCTTACATGTGTTCTTTATGTTAATCTCATATTTTGGATAAAATAAACACCAACAAATAAATGTAACAAATAAATCACTTGTTCTGATGTCAGGAACAAGAATTATTTTATAGAGGGAGAAAACATTAGAGAAGTAGAATTTTCGGGCCACTTGTGCATACCCTAAATGAATCTGTAATTACCTATAATTTCGCCTGAAATGTTTTTTCATGCAAAGGACGCAAATACAAATTGAGCACTATATATATATATATATATATATATATATATATATATATATATATATATATATATATATATATATATATATATATATATATATATATATATATATATATATATATATATATATATATATATATATATATATATATATATATATATATATATATATATATATAAATATATATAAATATATATATAAATATATATATATATATATATATAAATATATATATATATGTATATATATATATATATATATTTCATTAGCCCAATAAAACACGCCAGACTTCTACACATAATCAACACCTCACCCGCCGGGATTGAACCCACGAGCGAGCCCATGACTGTGACCGAGGAACGCTACTCTAGACCACCAGGATACTAAAAAGCAGTCCTAG